TTAAATGACAAAGTATTTTTATCACAATACATAGCAATAATCCCACGGCGTCTGACAAAAGGGCATGTTCGCATAATATAGTGGTTTCGGCTTTGACAAAAGGCATGTTCGTCATAATTTAGTGGTTTCGATTTTGACAAAAGACATTTCTTCAGATTTGCTTGTGATAGACTGAAGCCAATCGGCTCGGCCGACACATTATTTACCATACCCAAATTTCAGTCGCGCCCAATTTTTAACTGTCCGCTTTTCAATCCCTCCCAATTTTCAGCCCGCCCAAAACTTGAAATTCTCTCTCCCCTTACCAAATTTTCATTTACCCTAGGACCCCACTCATTTTCCTCCTCTTCTTTTCTTTTTATTTTGGGAAGGAGAAGACTCGTCGCCTTCAGGCTTCTTTCTTCAGTCCCCCAATAGATGTAACCCCACCCAAAATTTGACCATACCCCGCCCAAATTACAGTCACGTCGCGCCCAAAAAATTTTCCAAACCCGCCCACATTTCCCCCCTGCATTTTAACCAAATTAATCCAACCTAAGGATTTTTTTAATTTTGTATTAAGAGTACTCATTACTAAATTGGCAGAAAACATTAGTAACTAAATGGAAGAGGTAGCACAATGGTTTAATTGGTAAGTGTTTTTATTTTTAATGAGGTTGCCGCTGTTTCATTTCCCTCCAACAATAGATTTTCTTTTTTCATAACGGAGCGATGGGGTATTTTAATATATTAAGAGAAACACGGTGGCATCTTTTGTAATTATGGAACAAACAGTCGATAAGAATATGATGTATATAAATCGATGTTGGGTACTATTCTCCAAACTGATGATTACATTAGGATTTTTAAATGCCCAATCTGGAGCGTGGATGTGGATACAAAACTGGGGATTGGTAGTTTAGTAAATCTTGACCGAATGCAAAATCTTGGTTTTGAAGAGATGACGTTTAGATCTGGATTCTGTACCAAAAAGTAAATTGTGAATAGCTAAGAAGTCTTCCAGAAAATTAAATTGTGAAATAAACTAAAATGAATACGAAAAAATAAATTGAACTTAAAAAAATATAAATTACTCCAAAAAAGTCTCTGTCGCTGAACCTAGTTACCTTTTATGACAATCGTAATGACAAAATATGTCGTCATAACATCTCTGTTTGTCACAATAGACTATCCAAAACCTCAGTTATACTGAAAGCAAATGTGACAACCTTATTTAAATTTTTTGTCACATTTGACCTTTCCTGACGGCTATAAAATGACAAACCTTTGTGACAACACCTTTTGTCATATCATATTATACCTAATATGACAAAATGAGTATCTAATATGACGAAATTGCCTCGTCATAATATGGCGAATTTGTTGTAGTGAAATTCAAAAATGACTTCGTGTTGGCCGAGTTCTCGAGAAAGGCCAACTCAATTAATTAATATTTTAATGATTATTTTGGACGGTGTCGTTTAGTTGAAAACGACGTCATAAGAGGTATCAACAATATCGCGGATTAGAAAATGACAGTGTTTAATATAAAACAATGAGCGGATTTGCAATGTTGGTGTTGGGATTGGAAAATGAGTACTCTCTATTCCTTACCGAAGAAGGAAAGGATTCAGCCAAGATTGCATGGGCGCCTGACCAACACCTATGTGGAAGTAGAAACGGTGTTGTTTAATAAAACAAACAACGCCGAGAAGTCAAAGCCCAACGGCACCGCAAGACTAGAAAAAGACGTTGTTTGGTAGAGAACAATGTCGCATGGGTGATGTGACCAACATCGTCGTAAGAGAATTAAAATGGTGTTGTTTAACAAAACAAAACAACACACCGGGAAGTCAAGTCCCAACGGCACCGCTGTAATAAGGAACGACAGTGTTTGGAAAAAAATAATGTCGCGAGAAATTGCACATAAACGATGTCACAATAGTATAAATAGGATCGCTTCATGGAGAAATACGTTGTGAGGAAAGCCTCACGACCGACACCGCCGCAAAGCGTGAGTAAGTCATCAGCACCGCAGGGATGGATTACAAATATCGTTTAACAAAAATCAATGTTGTGGCTGAATGCGGGGCGCATGGTTGGTTTTCATAAGCCATTTTGGCGTACCGGCCAATTTGGTCCACATGGTTGTGTTTTGGTTTTAAATCCACTGCAAAAGCAACTACACCGCGGCACTAAGGAAACGACATCGTTTTAGTTTAAAAAAAAACAACGTCGCAAGAGTTTAACAATGCCGTGGAATAGGATAGCGATCTGTTTTGTCCAAAACAATTTTGTTTGTAGAGATCAATGGTGCGGGTTTGTATTTAATAACATCATGTCGCCATGTTTTGGTCTAACACGAGTTTGATAGTGATATTTTGAGTTTAGGATGGGAAGTTCATGACTCTGCGAGGCCAACATCATTGGAGATTATCATGAAACATTACTGTTTAGTAAAGAACCAAATTGGCCACTACACGTACAATTTTGCTAAGCTACGTTGCTTTATTCCTTGTTCCTTTTGGCATTTGGAATTTGAAATTGGTCAATCACTTATGTAGCCATGTTGGCTAAATTTCTATGCTTGGCAAACGGCTTTGTTTGTAGCAAACACCTAAAACAACGTCGTTTCAATAGTAGGTGTCAAACAACACCGCGAGAGCCCAACATAGTTGTGGAAAAGATCTATCATCTCGACCTAATATTTGCGAGCAGGTTGGGAGCGCAAGAGGCAATGTTGTTTAGACCAAAACAATGTCGCGAGTTATGCGAAATTGATGAGCATAGTCCAATGCTCTGAAATTCAACAACACTGTGAATTCAATAAAGTTCGGGCATCAATGGTGGGAATTCGACGACGTCGCGATACTAAATACGTCGTAAGCCATGAGCCACCGAAGTTGGTCGTTGATATTGTGAATGCAACGGTGCCGCAAGGGTGGGAGCAGTGTTGTTTTTAATCGGCGTCGTTTTGACTAAGTCTCTACCGAGAGGTTCGCACTCGTGGGAGTTACGCAATGGGGTGGAAGTTACCCTCACGGTTAAGAGGAATGGAGAATGTGGGAGATAAAGAAGGAGCGAGGCGGTTACTGCGACTACGAAAGACGATGGGGTATAAATATCAGGAGTAGAGACCTCCTTTGCAGAGTCATAGACGCAGTCGTAGATTTATCCTTTTTTCTCTCTAGTTCGTAGAACCGCTCTGTCAAAGACCTCCTTTGCAGAGTCATAGACGTAGTCGTAGTCGTAGTCACGGAGCTCTCCGGAGGAACCTCCATAGGAGTAGAGGTATCGTAACTTAGAAATCCTCCTTGTTCGGTTCCTCGTTATTCGTCGAACACTGTCTTTCGAATATTGTTTGGAGAGGTGTGAACCGAGTAACGGTCGTTTGATTTTTTATCTTGTGTTCTTGTTTTCCTTGGGGAGAGAGGGATATGGAAAGTCATATTTAAAAGGTAGTAATCACATGTGATATATTTATTTATTTTTTTGGTTCAAAACTACCCCTTTTACATTCTGATCGTCAATTTCATAAATACAAAAACAAACGATGGACTGCATAGTTATTAAAATACGGTACGGAAAAGTTACGTATAAAATACGTACGGGTATTTTACTTCATTTCTATGCTAATGTTACGTTTAATAGTACGTTAATTGTCATAAATATATAAAATTTATTATTTTAAAAATAAATAAATATATAAATAATGGTAAAGTTCGTAATTTGATTGATTAAATACGGATATAAAACGTGTTATACGGGTTTTAAACGTGTTTAATACGGGAGCCATCAAATGAACGGTCAAAAAAGAAACGGCTTGACAATAATACGGATACGGAAGTTATAAACGGATAAAGTAGATACGGGTACATATACGTGTATTAAACGGAGTATTTACTAACTATGCGATGGAGAAGTAAGTTGTCACAAAATGGTTGTCACCTTTACCAATTCAAGGATGCATGGTAACTCATTCCTTAACTAGGATTTCTTGAAAATTAAATTATGTTATATCGTACCAAAAGCCTAAATGATAAGAACATATTTCTAATTAATTTTCCGAATCATAAAAAAACGAGCATTTTGTTTTGTTCCAGCCCTGTTTGCCATTTTCTCTTCAATTATTTGGAATCATTTAATATTCCACCCAACTAATCAATAATCAGCTTTTATTAATTAAGTTCATTACATAAATAATCAAATGCATTCCAAAATACTTTTGTCATGACTTAACATTTTAGCACCGTGACTAATAGTCAATAGTCCTTTCCTTGACACTTTGTAACGGAAAAAAGAGTGAAAAGCCTTTCTGGATTTCGAACGTCTTTGATAGCCAAAGGTGAAGGTTATTGGTGGCTGGTTGGTACGGAGTTCTATGTTCTTCACTTTCATTGTCCTTCTTTTTTCTTACTTGATAGGAAAAACTAATAAAAACCTCTTTTGAAATAATTTATGTCACCGACACGTGAAATATCATTAGATTGATGAACCACATCAAAATCCACGAAATAATCTATGCATAATAACTTCCAAGGGTTAATTGCATGGTTGGTCACTGAGATTACAAAAAACGTTCAAGTTTGGTCACTCGAAATATTTAAATCCATTGGTGATACTTCACTTTACGAAAACAGTTCACGTTTGGTCACTCTCCGTTAGCTGCCGTCCATCTCCGTTAAAAGAGTCCGTTAAGTGATGACGTGGCAGACTAAAAGCCTAATCAATACTATTTAACCCGAAAATAGTCTCACCCGACCCGCCGCGTCATTGAGACCCGCCATGTCATTTAAACCTACTCAACCCTCGAACCAAACTAGACCCAACCCGGGATGAGTTAGCTTGGTTACTTAATTTTTAGTAATCACGGTGGCTACTTTAATCAACACCATTCATTATTTCCTTTTCACCCTAATTTTAAATTAACGATGAAGATTATATTAGGGTAATTTTGGAATTGAAAAATATACCACACCTGATTACTCTATAAATTATATCCAAACCCTACCCTATTGCAACCCGCCGCCAACCACCAAGCTCCCTCCCCGTAACCTCCCGCAACCCTCATCCCTCCCGAGAACCTCCTCCACCGTCGGCCGGCCTCCCCTCCACCGCGCTCCTCCCTTCCCCTCCTCTCTCGCATCTCCCATCCCTAGCATACCTCTCTCTCTCTCTCTCTCTCTCTCTCTCTCTCTCTCTCTCTCTCTCTCTCTCTCTCTCTCTCTCTCTCTCGTGTTGGGAAGGAACTCGAAGAAATCGACCGTCGACGTTGATCTCACGAGCCTCGGCGGCGAGATGAACATCTCCCGCCACCACGCTCGGATCTTCTACTACTTCACCCGCCGGCGATTCGCTCTCGAGGTCCTGGGGAAAAATGGATGTTTGTTGGAAGGCGTCCTCTACCTGCCAGGGAACCCTCTCGTGAAGCTCGATTCGCATGATCTGCTGCAAATCGGAGACAAGGAATTCTACTTTCTGCTCCCGGTGAGGAGCATTTTGGGCAGGGCGTTAGGGCCGAGGCATCACGTGCCTGTGGTGCCCCCGCCGCCGCAGTACGGGTATCATGGGGAGGAGAGGGCTTTGCTGCCGACTGCTGGCGGTGGTGCCGGGAAGAAAGGGAGACGGAATGGTAGTCATTTTTTCCGTAGTCATTTTTTTTAAATGGTAGTCATTTTTTTCGTAGTGGTAGTGTTATTGTCGTATTGGTATTGTTTTTGTCGCATTGGTATTATTTTTGTCGCATTGGTATTGATTTTGTCGCATTGGTATTGATTTTGTCGCATTGGTATTGATTTTTGTCGCATTGCTATTGATTTTGTCGCATTGGTAGTGATTAAATCTGCAATAGTATTGATATTTTGTGAAATGGTAGTGTTTTTATTTCTTGAATGGTATTGATGTTTTGTACAATGGTAGTATTTTTTTAATGGATTGGTATTGATTTATTATTTTTTTGTTGCAGTGGTATTAGTTTTGATGAACGAAATCAAGGAAAGATTGAGAAAAAGAAGGAAGAGAGATCTGGCTGAAAAAATTGTGGAAATGAGAGAAAGAGAGAGAGAGAGAAAAATTGTATTTAATATATTTATGTAATTTCCTAAAATGTAATTTATTAAAAAATGTCATTAATAAATTTTTGTTATACCCAGTTTGCCCTTAGTAACCACGGTGATTACTATAAAATTGTAATCACCGTAACCTGTCCCGACCCAATCCCACCAACTCAAACTACCCACTAAAAATTAAATCCCTAATTTATACACATCAAAACCCTCCCCTTCTCCATCCCGCAGCCTTCCTTCCTCCCGATTTTTTTTCCTCTCTACCTCTGTTCGCGAATTCACCGACGACGAAGGAGGGATGGAGCCGGGACGACGGTCATGCTCATTATTCCGCCGCACCCAAACATCCTCCAGATCCACGAAGCCTTCGACTCCGACGACTCCCTCACCCTCATCCTCAACCTCTGCGAGCCCTACACCTTGTACGACAAGGTAATCAAGAGCAATGGCGGCCTCCCGGAGCCCAAATCCACAGGGATCATGCGCCAGCTCCTCGAGGCCGTCGCCCATTGCCACCGATTCGGCGTTGTCCACTGCGACATCAAACCGGACAACGTGCTCTTCGATTCAAGGAACCGGGTCAAACTGGTGAACTTTGGGTCGGTCGACTGGGTCTTGGACAGCGGGTCCGGATCGCTGCTGAGCGGGGTTTACGAGACGCCGTACTACGTGGCGCCCGAGGTCCTGATGGGGAGGGTTTTCCGGCGAGAAGGTCGATGTGTGGAGCGCCAGCGTCGTTTTGTATGTGATGCTCTCCGGGATCCCGCAGTTTTACGGCGTCCCGAGGCTGGGTTTTGGCTGGCAGTTCATTACGTTGGCTGGGTTCCACGCGGATGCGCTGGTGGTGGACACTTTTGCGCAGGATTTCGCACGCAAAGGGATGCTGGCTTATGTGGAGATGATACAGAGGGAAGAGGGGAGCAATGGGGTTGATACTCTGGCGCAGCAATGTTTTAGAAATTAGAGATTTAATCTTTAGTGGATAGTTTAGTTGGTGGGTTGGGTCGGGTCGGGTTTGATTTGGTTAGAGGGTTGGGTAGTTTTAGATGACATCGCGGGTTTCAATGAAGTGGCGTGTCGGGTGAGATTATTTTCGGGTCAAATAGTGTTTATTAGGCAATTCCGTCTGCCACGTCATCACTTAACGAACTTTTTTAACGGAGATGGACGGCAGCTAACGGAGAGTGACCGTTCGTGAACGGTTTTCGTAAAGTGAAGTATCACCAATAAATTTAAATATTTCGAGTGACCAAACTTAAACATTTTTTATAATCTCAGTGACCAACCATGCAATTAACCCTAACTTCGAATTTTTCATGAGAGATTTTTTGGATTCATATACGTTTCTAGAATCCCAACTTACGAATTCATGAACGAATGTTACCAAACAATCACTAACCCATTATCAAGAAGAAAAAAAACAATCACTAATAACCCTGTTCAGTACCAGAAGTCTGATTTTCCTTGTACAGAACTCGAATCCCCTTCCATCGCGACTCCATATAATACGACGCATTCCTCTGCGCATACACTCCAAACTTGAAATAGTGAGACGTCCCTCCACGCCCCGGCGCTCGAAGCTGCAGAACCCCATCAACGTACACCTCCAGCGTCGCCGCCTCCACGTCGTGGATCACGTTCAACCGAAACCATCTGTCGAAGATCTCCGGCACGATCACCGCCGATCCATAGTACCTCAAGGAGCCATTGTAAACGTGCAACATCAAGCTGGTTGCGCGACCGTTGCTTCCCCCAAACACCTGCATTATGGACACCCCGTTGGTGCCCTTGGGCACGTAACCATGCCCTTCAAATTGCCAAATCCCTGAATTGTACGTATAATCCTGTACGCAGCGCGTTTCATTTCAATTCACGTCAGTATTATATAACATAGAAGAATAATTAATCAACTCAAGGAAATGGAACATTATTACGTACGGCTATCTTGATCTCTGATCTCGGTTCGGTGGTGCTGCCATTGTAATGTGGCTTGTCCGTCGAATAGACCCACAGCTTGTGGACTCCGTCGACGAGGCTGTACCGTTGAGATTCGGGCAAGTCGTAGGGCGTGTGAATGCGGTGTTGGGAAGTGTTGAGGGGCAGCTCTGTGAATCCGTAAGTTGGATCCAGAACGTCCACCTCACAGTTGACTGATCCCAAGCTAACCACCATGAAAAATACTGATATGGCTACTTGTAGCACAAGAAAAGACATGATCTTGGCTTGATTATTATGATCACTCTGTTTCAGGAACTGATTTCTGTTTGATTATATAGGCAGATGCATGGTGGAACGAGTAAACGTTACCGTTACCTAGGCCGAGTCAAACTTCTGATCTGTTGTTTGTTTTAAAGCACTGCCTGCCCAAAGCTGGATAACGAAAGATGGGTTTTGTTGAGTCGGTCAACAAGTGTTCTGGTGCTGGTCTTTTGGCCGGTGTTTTGTTGTAAGTGTGTGTTGTCTTCGTTTGGATGTGTGGAATCTGTCTGTGTGTTTAATTTGCCGATCATTGGTGATGCGGCTGGCTGCCTATCTCTTTTCGCCTCGGCTCACTTGTCTGTTTAAGTTACCAAGAATCTACTGTGGAATCCGTTGTTCTACTAATCACAATCGACTACGAAAATCGTGATCTTAATATCCTGGTAATTAAAATGGAGGTAGAACCCTATACAGAAATTTACTTTGGTAATCTAATCTCGCTTTTTTATTTTTTACTAGAGGTTATCTAAACCTAGATAAATTCTCAACTTTTTATGATCAAGGTCATTGAAAGAAGTAACTTAGCCTTATTGCTACCAAGGACTCCACTGACATATGCAATGAGCCATATGAAAAATACTCTTTAGCATTGATTGTGTGATAAAACCAAGTGATTATTTGTTAAGATATATTAAGATCGAGGACTTTGCTACGCTGACATGCATGTCATCGTAACTTGCACTTTTACGTCGATCTTATATAGGATTAGGTCGACCTAATATGTCATTTCTGTTTTGTGAGTTCAACGACGCGATTGACCTTTTATAGCAAATGGTCGACCACTTTGGGAAGCGATGTGGGTGGTTCTTTTTGCTCGTACAAATAATTGACCTTACAAAAGTTGGTGTAAAGCAAATTGATGAGGTCGTCATGCATATGCATATATATTGTCTAGAAATGACATTATGTTCTTAACATATTTTATATTTATTATACATATATATATCATTTTTCATGAAAGTGTGTTATTTTAACTAATTCCCATAATTATAGTGATTTATTATCGTACTTCTCCACTTATATAATGTCAGTATATGTTTGAATGTTAACGTGTTAGTTAGAGTTATAAAAAGGATTATTACATGTGGAAACTATGGATACCCGAAATTCGATCAGATTTATGCATAATTTTGATATTCTACCTGGTTTCTTGTGTGAGTATAAGTATGGATAATAACCAAATTATTTTGAGGAGAATAATAAAAATGAAATACCCTCCTGATTAGTTGTCATCCCTATTTGTCATAATATAAATTCATTTGAATATCACTTAATCAGGTTGATGGAGTTTATGAGTTCAATGATATGCCCTAAGGGCCATCAAATCCGGCAAAGTCATAAAAGTAAAACCCAGAAAGCTTATAAAGAACTTATGTTCTTAATTAACTCCAAGGCTGCGCCTCCTCCACCCCTCTCTCCCTATCTCTTGATTCATGGTCTCATCAAACCCCAATAGAGATTTGATTATTCATACTTGTGGTTTAATAATTCAAAAATAATAAATTTTGGATAAATTTTAGGATTGTATCTCGAATTTCCAACTATTAAGTTACTTGCTCTTAGTTTGGTATACCTTACCATACAAGCGGTCTGGCAGATCGTTTACCGAGCCTGAGATCAGTACATAAGATTATACGAGTATGTAACGGTTGAATCGTGGTTAAATAACGGTTTAATCATAAAATAACTTACCATGAATTGATCTGGTACAACCTCTAATGCGATTTTACAATCCTTGGTCTGGTGATTAATTTTTTAGTTGTGGCATCTTGTGGTAAATCGTAACTGCGTATCCAACATGTTCTGTCACACTCATTATTGGGGCTATCTTGGAGTTGGTTTATTGTTTTATTTTTTATTTTTTGCAACTTATTTTGTTTGTATAATGTCTTTTTGCTCCTCGGAGCATTTGATAAAGTTGCCTACTTAGTGGCAAACTATACTCTTTTATCGACAATTCGATTGCATATGAACAACTCTGTGTAGCTGTTGTCAATCTTGTAATGTGGTTCTCTTTTTTTGTTTATTGGCATATCTTAGCTTGGCGAAGAAAATAAAAGCGAATGATTCTACTGATATCTAGCTAAATGACTAGTACTCATCACGGATATCATTAATATGAGGGGGAAAAAATTTCACAACATTCAAGCTAGTATTGTAGTCCTTGATGGTCTTGATCAATATATGATTATCTTTTGTAAAAAAAAAAAAAAAATTGTAGTCCTTGATGGTTCAATTTTGTGAAACCATACTGGTTGCCCTATCGAAAAAACCTCCTACTCGAGTCTAAATCAATGGGCGATTTTTAACAGTATGAAATAGTTGAAAGACAATTTTAACACAAATTATCCTACTGATTGCCGCTAACTTTCAAAAACAACTTTCAGTACAGTTTTACAATCCTAGCTTCTTCAGGACAATGGATGATTTACTTCCTATACCACAGATATATTAAGCTGAGATTTGACAAAAAGAACAAGGGAGCTGAGAATAGTTAACAAAGTCCGGACAAGAAAGTTCATGATCTAATCTCTGATTTCATCAATGAAAACGGGAGCTGTTGCTCGCTGCTTCTTGTGGTCTGATGAGAGAGTAATACACTCCTTCCTGTCCCAGCGACATGAGCTCATTGTGTGAGCCTTTCTCTGCAACTTGACCATTTTTTATCACGGCAATGCTGTCCGACTTCTGAATTGTCGACAGCCGGTGAGCTACCACTATGCAAGTTCTGCCAACCAACATCTTCTCCAGTGCCTCTTGGACCAAGTTCTCCGAGAAACTGTCGAGGGCACTCGTTGCCTCGTCCAGCAGAAGGATTTTCGGATTCTTCAGTATGGCACGGGCAAGTGCCACCCTTTGTTTCTGGCCGCCGGATAACTGAACTCCTCTTTCTCCACAATATGTATCATACCCCTCGCTCATTCCGCTGCACCATACCAAAAATAAATGCATCATCGTCACAACCCTGAGGTTTGTGGAGCTGTAAACAGAATTACTAAAAAACCAGGGATCAGAGAGTAAGATTTTATGTTCACCTGATAAATTCATGAGCATTGGCAAGAAGTGCAGCATTTTCTATCTCGGATTCTTGTGCATCCTGCTTACCGTAGGCAATGTTTTCCCGGATAGTTCCTGCAAACAAGCTTGGCTCTTGACTCACCAATGCAATATGAGATCTCAGCCATCTCAGATTGTAGCCCTTTATGTCCTTGCCATCAATTAAGACTGTTCCCCTCAAAGGGTCGTAGAACCTTTCAATGATACCAATGATTGTCGATTTTCCAGACCCACTTGGCCCAACAAGTGCTACGGTCTTTCCTGGTTCAATCTTCAGGTTTAGGCCCTTCAATATAATTGAGTCGGGTCGTGTTGGATACACAAAGAAGACATCTTTCAGCTCAACTTTGCCCCTCATTTCCTTTTTAGAGGTTGATCTCTGAGAGCTCTCGGGATCGATTTCAGTATTCCTGTCCATGATCTCGAACACAGCTTGAACTGCAGTCCTGCCTTTAGATATGTCGCTGGTCATACTTCCAGCTTCTGCTATTACATAACCAGAGAAGACAACTGCCAGATATGACTGGAAGAGCTGTTGTGCCTCAATCTGCCCCTCCGTCAAAAGCCTCCCACCGTACCAGTAACCTACAGCAATTGATGCCGTATTGAAGAATTGAGAGCTAAAGAGGCCAATGCCTGACAGATAAGAATGTCTAACACTCTCTTCTTTAGGTCCTCTCAAGGTGGACTTGAAGAGGCCAAGAATTCTCTTCTGGGATGAGAATGCAGTTATGGTTCTGTGGTTAATCACAGCTTCGCTTGCTATTTGACTTCCTTCCTTCTGCGCCTTGCGTGCTTTTCCTGCCATGCTTTTCGTCACAACTGACCGAGAATAATAGCTTCCAATAACTATGGGTTGTACTGCGAGCAGGACAAGGCCTAGCCTCCATGAGAGGACAAGTGCCAGTAAATAAGCAGAGAGTGATCCAAAGAATGCCTGAACCAACAGAGATATGCGATCACCAACCAGGGACCGAACCATGTTAGCTTCAGTGGCTAGCCTTGCACAAATCGCTGCACTTGTGTTCTCATCTTCGTCGAACCACCCTATCTCGAAACTCAGGAGCTTCCCCAGCAGTTTCTCCCGCACTCTTTTCGTCAAGCTTTCGCCCATTATAGCAAAACAATAGTGCTGGAGGAGACTAGTGACGAAATTGAATGCAGCAAGGCCTAGGAAAATGAAGGACAAGGTTGTGCACTTGTGCTTTACAGCAGCTTTGTCTGTGCCAAACAAGGTTGCCACGAGTAATCCCACAAAATAAGCATTTATTGACTGGGATACTCCTCCGCCTATTGCAGCCATACATCCAATCAAGCCGGAGCCCCATTCTGGAGCATTCATCTCCAGCAACCTCCACAGAGAAGGAACAGGGTAATAGCTTTCAAAGTCTTCTTCATCGCTTGCCTCAGAAATATCATACTGTAGAGAGTAGGAATATGGAGTGCCAATGGATGTAGTAGGACTTGAAAGATTTGACATTGGAGTGCCTGGAGCAGTTGACCTCCAGCTGATTCGCCTTGGAGTAGATGCATTTGATATTGGGGTGCCCGGAGCAGTTAACCTCCAACTATGCCGGCCCGGTGTAGATGTTCTAGACAAGTTTTTACCCTCGACTTTGTAATCATAATTATCATCAGGATCTTCATTTTGTACGACTAACGTCTGTTGCAGTTGCATCATCCGGAAATATTCTCCACCCTCTCTTCTGCCATTTGTTTGCATTAGTTCTTCATGTGAACCTGATTCAACTACTCTGCCAGCTTGTAGAACAACAATAAGTTTTGCCTTTCTGATTGTGGAGAGACGGTGAGCAACAGTGATTGTTGTCCGACCTTTGGATGCCTGATCAATTGCAGCCTGCACAATTCCTTCAGATTCGGTATCAAGAGCACTAGTTGCTTCATCAAGCAGCAAGATTTTTGGTTCTCTAATAAGTGCTCTTGCTATGGCGATTCTCTGCTTTTGCCCGCCAGACATTTGGAACCCAAATTGTCCAACCTGAGAAATAAAAATAAAATAAAATATCTAGAATATAGGATGAAGCAAGTTCTTTGAAGAGTTTTCAGTACATATGGGCTCACCTGGGTGTCATATCCATCAGGTAGCTTAACAATGAAATCATGGGCATTTGCTGCCTTGGCAGCATTCACCACATTGTCCGTTGAGGCTCCTTCGCTACCAAACAATATATTCTCTAATATAGATGTCGCAAACAGGACAGGCTCTTGATTAACCAAACCCATCTGTGATCTTAACCATTTTAACTGAAGTTTTTTAATTGCGTGCCCATCTAAGAGGATTTCACCGTGAATAGGGTCGTAAAACCTCTGAAGCAATGAAATGATTGTGGACTTCCCCGAACCACTGCCACCCACAAGACCAATTGTCTTACCAGCAGGAATAGTAAGATTCAATCCTTCTAAGACTGGAGTATCAGGCCTTGAGGGGTAAGAAAAATGGATGGCCTTAAATACAACTTCCCCTCTTACATGAGACAAAGCTTTCCCTTTCTTGTCTTCTGAGTCTATCTGAGGAGCTCTATCAATCAATTCAAAAATACGAGTAGCAGCATCAGTTGCTTCAGCAACGGATGCTAGATTTGGCAATACACTCATTACGCTCCTGCAGGTCACAAATGAATAAAATGAATCCCAAAGCTGACAACTGAAATGACGGGCTCGAAATGCAATCAAATTAAAGAACCAATAACTCACATTCCTGCCATAATGACATTCACTGAGGCCACAAAAAGGGAGCCACCCTTTTGTCCCTTTTCAGTCGCCAGATAACCACCAAACCAAGCCTCAAAAGCCCAACCCAAGTAAATAATTCCAATGCACCCCATCATGATCCCCTTCGCAAGACCTTGCTTTATGCCCAAATCCAGGGTCTTCTGAAGTGCATTGCTGAACTTCTCCAGTGTTTCACGCTCCGCTACATAAGAGTATACAGTTCTGATTGATGAAATTGCTTGTTCTGCAATGCCACCAGCAGCGGCATAAGTTTCAAGCTTCTGCATCAGTGAATCAGTCATGATCTTCCCAAACATAAGACAGGGGCCGACAAACAGCACCATTAAGGGAAGAGCAGCAAGAGCAAGCCTCCAGGATACAATGAACGAGACCACAATGCAAGAGATGAATGTTGCTACATATGCAAGGGAGTTTGGAATCTGCAGGCCATAAACATAAAAGCTCTGTTCAAGTTTCAACCATCACGCAAATACGAATTAAGGAATTTTTGTTTAGCTCCCCTTGGAGATAGAGATTTACAACAAAGACAAACCTTGTCACATATTGCAACTTGGATTGAATTGGCATCATTGGAGATGGTTGAGACAACTTGATATGTTATTGAAGAACCACTTTCTTGGGTATCAAAGAAACCAACTTCTTGCCTCAGTACAGACCTCAGATATTCCATTCTCATTCTGGAAGTCTGCCTTTCAGCTGTTCTTGTCCAGCACAGTCCTTCTAAGAAACAGAAGGATTTGTTCACCACAGGGAAAATCGTTAGTTTTTGTCCACCTTCAATGTTTCTTTTACCTCAACGGGGAATAAGAAGCTTACCGACAAAAGCAGATACTCCAACTCCAATAGCAACATAAAGAAGCTTGAGTGCGTACTGGTAGAATGGAATCAGCAAAAACAGAAGTAAGTTATCCGAGTTCAAGATATTGGTTAAGAGAATTGCACTTCTAACATTTACATCTTAAACTACTCCACGCATGAAATTACTGCACATACTTACACAGATCCCCTTCAACTTTAAGATACAGGCTCACCCATAAATCAAAAATCAAGAAATTATCAAAGATGAGGACTGAAACTTTTTCGGAAAGAATATTACAGTTAGCAAGAGAACAATCTTTCTACGATATGATGCTAATCAGGAGTAATTAAACATGATCTCTATTAGCTTTGTCATTCACCTTATCAACAGTATCTTTCGATAACGGATTATTTGGAGTACCATAGTCGTTCATCACAAAACTTAGAACAAATGTCGAGAGAGGATACTGTAACCCATCTCCAATGCTACCTAAAGCACCAACAATCATCAAGAACTTGTCTGTGCCATCTGCACAGCGAAAGATGCCACCTTTCCTGCCCATTTTACGCTATTTCCTGCTACTCAGCTGAAAAAAACTCATGCTCATAGAAATGGTAATTGACCTTCGAACTACCCTATTATATGCATGATGATAATTAAGCATTGTCATCCATGACATTGACATCGGCAGGCATCTGGCCGGCTCAATTGTCTCCCTTCTTGTCACCTCTCTATCCTTTTCCTGGAGATCAACGACCTAAGAGTAGCCGGCTTATTATTCTAATGATTCCAATGTAGCAATCAATCAACAATTCAAGTGAGAATACTACTCTGCTCCAGCTATATGGCCAACGTTGTTCTCACACTTCCAAGTCATCCGTTTCACTATCTGTCCCTTTGTGAGATTGACATATGCTCAATGTGCGTGAAAAAATGGAATAGTTAAAGGCATACCTGTATTATTGGAATCCACGATGAATTTTTGTTTTGTTTTTTCCCCTTTGGTCCAGTTCGTCTTGGAAAAGAGTTCAAGTCGTCATCTCGCAGTCGCACATCAAACTTTTTTGCTTCCGTCTGCGATTGCGAAGCCTGGTTTTAGAAATCGCTCTAGAAACAAGCTCAATTCAAATCCAAGGCAAGTGGTGAAGTTCATCAATTTGAAGAACCGAGACCGAGCAAGGAACCTTGTCGCATCCTCTTGGTTTGTCTCCATTTCCGGGTCCCTCATTCTTTCCAGAAATTGATGCGCCGGAATTGCGGTGGAACCGTCCGGCCAGTAGGAAACAGCCGCCACAAGAAGCCCTTCGGAGTTGAACATTGCTGCTAAAACCAGCATAATCTATATGGAACGATAGGAAAAGAAAATTCCGAAAACTTTTCTCTGCCTGGTTGTCATGCCAGTTAGGGGTGGAGAAAGACACTCGTAAACCGATTCACCCGTCTAATCCGATCCAACACACCGTATTTATCGATAAAACCAAGGTTTTGGATTGTGTGAGGGATTTTTTTACAACCCGCATCTTTTGGGTTAGGCTTGAATTTTGGATTACACAACACGTAGAACCCGACCCAACCTGTGTTCCAACTATTGGTATGAGTTTGTATCCACAAAATATTTATGTCGTATATAGTCATACTTATGAGAAAATTAAGATATTTCACCATGTTTTTCTCTCATGATCTCCCTAATCTAATGTATTCTTTGGCTTAAAGTTAGACATAAATTTAATATAGCTATGATTCACGTACTTCTTTTTCTTGTGTATAATTTTAATAGAATAACATATTATGGATGCGTTCATTTATAACCTTTTCAGTTTATTTCAAAAAATATCGTGAAAAAAGCTAGACATATGTTGAAGTAAATCGCATTTTATTAAAATGCATACAACATTTGTGAATTTTGATACCTTTCACCTCGGTTTATTTGTTTGAAATTTTAATTAGTTTTAAAATATTTTTATGGTGTGGAACAATTAAATATTTTGTGTTGGGTTGGGTTTTACTTAAAAATATCATCAACCCGACCCAACCCAATTAAAAATAGACCATAGAGTTTAAATATTTTTGGTGGGTTTTGGGTTTAATATTTCCCAGACCGTAGTGCATGGGTCGGGTGATTAAAATGGCTAAACCCGTACAACCCGACCCATTTACACCCCTAATGCTAGTGGTATGTCGGCCGGTTGAACTCGGTCATGAAACCGGCTGGAATACCACCGACACGACCCTGCAACCAATGCCGGTCAAAACCAGTCAAATCCCGAAATGTCGGTGGTTAAACCAAAATGGAAAATATCGGCATCTTCAGCAAACTCGACGTCGTTTTGTGAATGGAAGTTTTTCTAGTGGCTAAATTACACGTTTGGTCACTCAAATTACATAAAATTTTCACGTTTGTCATCCGAATCACTTTTCTTTCTTATTTGCCACTAACTTTGGAAACGTTTCATGTTTGATCACAGACCATGTTTCTTTTTTGTCCTGGGTTGATTTTGACCTTTTCTTTGTACTGTTTCTGTTTCTTGTGTACACCGCTGGTGTATTTGTGATACTAATAAATTTTCACCTTCATCAGAAAAAAAATAACCAAACTAATTAAGCCTAAATTTCATTAACCATGGAATAAAATGTCTTACCAAACCGTCCAAATTAACACGAAAACCAAATTAACCAAACCAAAATTAAATTGGTTTGGTTAATCGGATAATCGGATTAACCAAATAACATAGCATTACATGAAAACAATTATCATGTAAATGAATAAAACATAACCATATGTTGTTACTATCATAAACTATCATTATATATAAACAATAATAAGACTAATCATCCATGATTATCATCATCGTTCGAGTTAATACATCATTCATCATCTATGCACATAATATAGTTAGCTTACAAACTCCTTAACATAAATATATACCAATACCCCTTCATCAGGAAGTTATTGCTCTCCTACAAAACACTTAAACTATACATAATTTGAGGTGACTATCATGGTATTGTACGTAATCCTAAAGTCTAGTAGTTGTCCAAAATGAGTTTGGTTTAGTAAATAGGAAGGCCATTTAATTTTTTACCCATAATGTTTTGGCTTGTTGTGCACATGGAAATAAATTAGTAAATCACGAAAGTTTGGTTTGATTGGTTGCATGGAAGTATAAATAATTTTGTATATTAGGTGTATCATTAATTGGTTAATTGGTTTCATTGAATAACAGTGTTGAAACCAAACCAGACCAAACCACCTAAACAAAATAAGCTAAATTGTTTAACCAAACCAAACCAATTATCCAAATTAACCAAACCAAATTAACCAAATACTACCGGTTAATATGGTTACCACGGTAACCAATCCGTTTGAACACCCCTACAGATCGTCTGTCTCCGTTAACTCTGTTAAATATTTGATGATGTGGCAAATGGAAATCTGACTAGACTGTTAACTAATAATGTGTCAATTTTTTTAAAAAAAATCAAAATTAAAAAAAATTACCCCTCATTAACCCTGAATGAGAACCACAAGAAGGGGAAAGCCCCTTCCTCTCGGTCCACATTCATTCGCCGCCAGCGATATGTTTCTTCCTTTCTCTCACTGGATCGCCGGTCGAAGAGTCCCCCTCGTCATTCTCATCACTGCCGCCGAAGCACATAGTTGGTACATCTTCTCTCCATCCCGAGCTTCTTCCAGGCCCAGCAACTACCCCTTCCAGGCCAGATCCAAGTTGGTCGAGAGCCGACCGTACATTTTTTGACCATCCCAACCTAGTACAGCAAACCGATCCCAAGCCCCATCGGTATTCCCACAGAAACGAATATCCCCGCCGTCATTCTCTCGAACACTTCCTGCGGAATCTCATCACTCCTGTTGCTTTTCTTCTTCTTTTTGCCGGAGGGGGATTCTTTAGCTGGCGGGTTGATTCGAGCTGGCGGTGGTGCTCGGGCATTGAAGAAGCCAATGGCATTTGCGTTGAGCTTCCATGAATTGTTGTCGCTAGAATTTTGGGATGAAGGAGGGGAGATGATAGAATAAATGTGTAACACCCCGAATTTTGGGTTCAAGTTCGACCAAAATACGTGAACGGTTGACTTAACGGTTACGTACGAAGGATTACAACCGCGGGCTAGGAATAATAATAATAACATACATGATTGTTATTATTATTATTATTTACATAAAAAAAGGGGGCTTTGGAGGGTCGAAATCATTAACCCAAATTCCCCACGATCCCATCCGTCTCTCTTGGTTTCCCTAGCAAAACCCTTCTCCGCCGCACAGCTCTTGGTGCCTCCGCCAGCATCTCCCTTGCGAATTGAAATCCAAGCTAGCGGGCTTCCACCTCCCGGTGCCAAAATCCTCGGTGATGCTGCCACAGGGAAGAAAATCGATGAAGTCGAGAAGAAGAAGTCAACTAATGGTCAATCGAGGTATGGCCCGACTTTGTTTCCGCACGCTTTAGGCGCTCTTTTGGAGAGATAATTGCGAGGTGAATTGTCAATTGGGTTGATTAATTATATTGCGAGGATTTCTGAACGAAATTCTTGTACGTGTGCTGGAAGTGGGGAGTGCATGCTGTGGGTAGGTGTGGAAAGTAAATAGCTAAAATGGACATGGTGATTTGGAAGGTAACGTGGAGAGAGTTGTGAAGCATGATAGATTTGGTTTGGGAGGTGTGGATTGATGGGAATATAATTTGTATAGCTATTGACAAATTGAGTTCACGTAGTTGCATGGCCATATGGAGGAGATCCTATAGTGGTGCACCTAAGGCAAAAGTTGGAACATTGGGTGATCTACATGGTTGGGGAAGAGTTCAAGCTAGTCGTCGTTCAATCCGGTGAGTGTGAAGGGGTAAATTCTACGTCTTACGGTATTTAAGTTTTTTAGATTTGACTGTTATGCGCCGTACTTGCCTTTGTATGCTTATATGATGTCATATGATTTGTGTGAGTTATGCTTTCAGTTTTATGTTGTTGTGTGCTTTACTTACAAGTAAGTTTAAGTTAAAGAAACAAGTTCTTTTTAAGAAGTAACTCACCTTCAAGAAGGTGAAGTCGTTTTAAGTGTTTTTAGTCACTAGCGCCAGTCCGTTGCCTTTTGAGACATTTTGAGATAGAACAGCAGTTATGCTCTTGAGACTTTTAAGATGAGCAGCAGTATGCTCTTGAGAATCGTGGTGAAGAGCCACCACGATAAGTTTAAGATGTTAGGGAAATGAATCGTTACGACTCCCCTAACTAAGTTTAAGTTTAAGGAAAGCCTGGATGGCTTCTCATACGTATGAGTTGGCAAACAGACTAGCTAGTGAGGGATCCCCGTGTCAGTCAAGTATTTAAGTCGAGATTTGAGCTTTAAGAATGGAGAGTAACAGTAACTCCCATACAGTTTTAAGAATTAGGAGTTTTAAGATTGGAAGTACAAACAACTTCCACTAGTCAAAGTTAAGTGTTTAAGTAAAGTACTCAAGTATTAGAATTATTAAAACGTAAGGGCGTAGACTGACCCCAACTCACTCACCAGTTTGAAGAGGAAGAAGCTAGAGGAGCAGTTAGAGAGTAGCGGGATCGAGAGAAACAGTTCGAGTGAAGCTAGCTAGAGGAGGACGATACGAGCGTCACAGAGGATGTCTAGCCAGAGTTTTTCACACAAGTAGCAACACTTGAGACTAGTTAGTTATTATGTTTTATTATTATGAGTATAGACTGGAGATCAAGTTGAGTTTTTAAAGTTTGAGTTTAACTTGCCTACATGTTAGGGCTTTGCTTTGAACTACAAGTGTGTGTTTTCAATATTTTATTTATGAAAATTTTTCCCACTGCAATTTTAAGATTTGAGTATTTTATTTATCAAGGACATTTTAGTAAAAGTAGTACCGGCCGGGTTAGGGTGTTACAAAATGGCTCTGATGGATGTAGATTAGTTAGACCCATAAAAACAAGAAAATCAGTCAAAATCAAAATACGAGTCTCAGGAACTCCATCGTTCAACTTATCCCCTTTCCATATAACTCCTGTAGCAGAGAAAACTGGAAGTGAATAATTGTAAGAATTGGGATTGAAAGGCCGCGAAGAGTAGGTAATTATACCGTCGCAATCAAAGCTGAAGATCTCGATGGAGTCGATGACTGCATCGACATCCTCCAATTAAGGTACCAATGCTACTGCGCTACACTAGCCAGCTCACGGATCTCCTCCGTCGTCATGGATCTGCATTTGTCCCTCGTTGTTGCATCTTCGCCTTCACTGTCTCTGCCTTCGTCGTAATCACCGTCGCCCAGTCTCCGACAGGTCGCCATAGCCGTCCAGCCCCAGTCTCTACGGCGGTGACGAGAATGGCGGGAGGGGGACCCTGACCGGCTACCCACTGAGAGAAAGGAAGAAATATATCGCCGGCGGCGGATGATTGTTGACCGAGAGGATGGGTCTTTCCCCTTCTCGTGGTTCTCTTTTAGAGTAAATGAGGTGTAAATTTTTTTCTTTTTTTTTTAATTGACATGTTATTAATTAACTGCCCGGTCAGATTTCCTTTTGCCACATCATCAAATATTTAACGGAGTTAACGGAGACAGACGGTCGGTGACCAAACATGAAACG